AAGAAGGTCAAGGTGACTATGGCATGGCTGCTGCAGGAAGTGCTGAGTCCTTGGCCCCTCACACCCCACTGCACATGGAGGCCCCACTGAGTCACGCATGAACTGTGGGGCAACAGGATCCGGCATGACTATGCTGACGCCCCTGCTGTGGGTTGTGACAAGCAACAGTCTTGCTCAGATCAGCATGTCTCACCGTCTACTTTCAGCACCGTGCCGTGGTGTCAGGTGCACTCCTTGCATCTTCTTATGAGGCCAGGGTTCTTCCTTGAAAGTGAATTGAGTTTTAAGCTTAGATAGGCAGCAAGACCGGGAGGGGTGTTTGGGGGCAGCAGGTGTGACACGGACCAGCGGCCAGATGCTTTTCAAAATGGGAGCTCTAACTTTTCCCATCTCTTGGAATAGGTGCGGTTCCTCTTATTTTATCAAAGCAACAAGGCAGGCTCAGGAGAGGGAAGCATGGTTACCGGGTGGGTATCAGGACGTGGTGAAGCCAGGAGGGCCAGCCTGTCCCTTCCAGAGTGCGTGTCTCAGTATACGAGCAAAGTCGACGGTGCGGGCTGGCCTGCTGGAGCAGGGGGTGCTGGGGCGGGAAGAGTGGGTGCAGGGCAGTCCTGAAGACTGACCAGGCAAGAGAGGGTCACTTTGATGCTGGCCTGACAAATGTGGCTTTAGAAAAGAGGGACCTGTGTAAAATATGCGCCCTGGTCACACACATCGATCCCTAACATGACCCACCCCTGGCCCTAAGGAAGCGTGAGAGACAAACGCGGACGTTCCTGAGTGAGCAGGAACCGCAGGTCACAGTGCTGCCGAAAAGCATCTGGGAGTCTTCAAGGTGAGTGGCATTTCGATTTGAAGGAGCATTTGAAAGGCAAACAAGGCTCCCAGCCCGATACGGGCGTTTCTGTCGCAGCAAGCCCAGCTCAGACAAGGGCTCAGTCTGAGGACGCCGCCGCGTACGCGCCCGCGGCCGCCGGCCCGGCTCACCTCTGGGAGGGCAGCCTGCGCGCTGCGCGTCTGCTTGATGGCTTCCTCGTAGCGCGGCGGGTCTTTCGTCTTGGGGACTGGGCTCCCAAACAGCGAGTGCTGGACCATGAACGGCTGGGGCGGAGGGGGTGAACCGGGCTGCAGCAAACAGAGGAGCAGCAGTCAGCTCCAGGCGGCCTCGCCATGAGCGCGGCTGTGCTGCCCCCAAACACTTAGCACCGGGATTCCAGGCTACCTCCCCGCCCTGGGCTGGATTCAGTCATCCCAGGACCGCAGCTCGGGGCTCTGGGACAGACCCGCCCCTGGAAGGGCGGCCAGCGCCGCCCAGTCCACGCAGGGTTACCTTGCTGGGGGGGTCAGGGCCGTTTTGCAGGGATGGAAGTGGCGTGTTTCTGGGCTGGAGAACGCTGTTGTTCGTCTTGTTAATAAAGGGCTGCTGGACGGCTGGAGCAGGTGGTCTCTGATACGGAAGAACAGTGCTTGATGCCGAGTTTGTGAAAACCTGTAATGAATCAACACTTTTCCATCAATTTGTTCTTTTGCCCTTCCTAATCAAGAAAACCATGTTTTAGAAGGGACTGGCAGCTTTTTCTGTGAAGGCCGCCAAGTGTATAGTTTAGGGCTTGTGAGCTGTGGGATCACTGCTCACCTCTGTCCTGGAGCACAGGAGCAGCCTGGGCTGGATGTGGCCCACAGGCCGCCGCCTACGGAACCCGATTTTCAGCGTCAGTGGTCTTTGTCTTCGATGGCAGTGTGGACAGCGCTTCATGGGGAAGCAGCATTTGCTCAGTTCGATTTTCCTCATCTGCTCTCATGGCTTTTTGGATAACAACCCTCAAGGCCCACCTCTCTCTTCCAGCCTTGCTCCCAAGTGCCGGAGCCACACTTAACAACATTTACAAACAGAAATTCGGGATATCCCAAATTTAATACATTCCAAATTACACTTTTCCCTTTCCTCCACTGACCCTAGCCTCTGAGGGAAAATAATTCTTAGTTTTGCCTTTCTTCATTTTTGAAACTTAGGTAAATGGGGCATCAGCCTGCTGTGCTTTCTGCCCTTGGTGCTCACACATCTCAGACGTGCCCTCTGGACCAGGCCTGTGTCCTGCCGTCCTCGTCCAGGTGCTTATTACCCACCACTGGAAAACCAGCACAGCCGCCCAGCTGTGCCCCCCTGAAGCCCTCCTGACCTCCGCCAGCTGTGGTGAGTCTTCACGGGCGCACGTGCACACGCACACGTGCACTGAGGTCCTCCAAGGCCCACCTGCCCATCTTTCCTGGGGTAAAATCCCGATCTTTGGCTGGCATGTAAACTCTCTTCCTGGCCCCCCTTCCATCCTGCTGGAAAGGCCACATTCAATTTCCCAGTTTCTTAAAAATGTCTCCAAATCCTTCCAAGGCCTAATCTAACATCTGTCCCCTTCTGAGAAGCTGGTTCTGCTCTGACAGGCAGAGGTGAGGATCTCTTCCTGTGGAACCACGAAGTGTGCTGTTTATCTCCCATCAAGAGCCAGAGGCTTTAGGGCTTTTTGCAAAAGTATGACCAAACTATTGATTTTGTAACTGTATTTCACAGAACTGGTTTGCTCATAAAGTTTTTAATATACTTTATACTACCAGTATTCTGAAAGAGAACAACTTTTCTTTTCCTCTCCAAAGAGCACAGCTTCTCCAGGTGAGCTCTGTAAGCAGGCTCTTCTTATTTATCCTGTCTATCATACAGTGTTTTTCTCGCTCCTCCCTCAAAGAAAACTATCTTAACATTTGAACATTCGCTCAGTTTATCACTACCCTAAAGTGTTATTCAGGGCTCACCTCTAACTCCTTGCTCACTGCACTTAGACAAGATTCCAAGAGAGCATGTGTGTAAATGTGATTGTCGCTGTCCCAAGAGGTCGTTTCTGTCTTTTCCTTAGGTTGCCTCAGCCCAGAGAGTTGACACCAGCTTGGGCCTATCTACAGGTACACTTAATTATCTAGGTTCTCTTATGCTGAAGCTGAAATCTCTGGGACTAATCATTTTCAAGGTTTAAAATAGTAAGGCCTATTTTTGAGGCCTTAAGATTTTTCTGCCATGGAGACGTGCACACAGCTCCACCTACTGGATAAGAGGGAGACCTGGGAACTTCTGGGTCTGTTTAACAGAACTCTACCCTACGTAGGAAGTCCTGTAGAGGATACTGAACCCCAGATCAGCACCGTCATCCTAAAGATGGGGAGACTGGCACTCACACAGCAAGTGAAGTCTGCATACAGAACAATACAGGAGATGGTGAGCCGGACGACAGGCAGACCGAGGCCTTCTGGCTCTTAAGCACTGAGATGGCAAACTCTTAAAAATATGTAAAGATCTTACTCAAACATTTCAGAAAGTATCTTTTTCATCTTCAAATGTTTTCCCAGGGCACTTCTTCCCCCCTCCCCACAAAATGATTACTCTGAAAAGAAATGTTAAAACCTAGGAAATTCTATATGAGGACTGACAAAATACTTTTGAAACTTTTCTTGGAAAAGGGGCTTAACTGCTAAGATGAGCTATCTTTCAGTAATAAAGAACTCTTTCTACAGCCAAGTGGCATCCGACCCGAGGCTCACCCGAGGGAATGGATCACAGACAAGAATGAACCGGAGCCGCCACGGAGAAGGCGCCCACTAAGACGTGTGGACGGCTGAGCGGCCGACGGGAGCAGCAGCAGCAGCAGCCTGTCACTCGCGAGCATTCACCAACCTTTCTGACTTGCTGAGGCTGACTGAGCACGTGCGGCGTGAAAGTGTCTTGCTTCTGAGGTACAGTCTGGGCCAAGCTCGAGGACAAGGTGGCAGCTGCTATCTGAGGCTGAGTCTGGATTCCTGCTTGTGGTGGAGTCTAGGAGGCGAATAAAAAAAAGAATCAACTTAACTGTCAAAATCAAAGTTAGAACCAAAAGTTTAGAGTGGAATAACTGTTCACTTGGGAATCATGTCTGAAAAAAAATAAAATGTTTATAGATACGCACTTCAATCCATTGGCACATAAATTTGAACCTCAATTCTAAACCAGAGGATTAAACACCAGACCAGTCATTTTCATGCTCGTACTGTTTCTTGAGTGGCTAAGATTTTCAACTGAACATTCTGGGGAAATACAAGACTGAAGTAAAAAGAACCTGTGGCAGCTCTACGCATAATGGGTCGAGTGTTGTAATAATTTCTTTGGTGGTGTAGTAATTTTAATAGCAGCAAGGAAATCTGTGACGCCTAACTCCAAATTCCCGCTTTTATGCTGCAAAATGTGCACCCTCTTGGGACAGCCAGCTATGTGCTGGGACACTCAGAGGCCCAAAATAAAACGTAGTTCTTGTTCCCTGAATATCAGCTCTTAATGAAAGATTTGGACAGGAAGACAAATGTTTAGGAAAGCTGTCTAACAGAACAGGCTTTCGGTTTCACAGACACTCTGAAGATTAAACAGGGGAGTTAGAACTTCTGCACGTTCTAAGGGCCTTTGGGTCATGCCTCCTAACCCCGGAGGGCACAAGACTGCTCCTCTCCAGGGGGTCAAGGGTGAGGAGCAGGACTCCAAATGGTTTGTGTGTACCGTGGCCCGTGTCTTGTTAAAAAAACCCTACCGAAATTGCATTGCATGAAACAGCTGCAGGTCAACACATGGGTAATGATGGCGTGACTATAAACTTCATGCTCACGAGGGTTTTATCATCTCTCTCAATACCAGTGTCACTCCTGAATTTGTGGTCACATTTTCCTCAGTTTAGGCATCTTCACCTTTATGGTGCCTTTAAGAACCACACTGAGGAGGCAGAGTTCAGGAGTGGGCAGAAGAGTAAACGCTTTGCAGTCGGAAAGCCTTGGTTAGAACGCTAGCCCCGTCCTTGGGTGACTCGCTAAACCTTTCAAGACCTGGGTTTCCTTTCTAGGAATGGGCCTGCTTTCTCACTTGGGTCTTCTGGGAAAAGGGAGGATTAAACGAGGCATTCAGTTAAAAGTACTGGATGCTGTGTCTAGTATTCCATGACAGTAGCTATCGCCGTTATGATGAGGCCACTGGTATTTAAAATGTCTACACCAATGATACTGTGCCCATTAAGGGTGGAAGGTGACGGGAAGGGAACAGCACTCCTTTAACTATATAAAAACAGAACTAGCATTCACATTTTTGAATGCCCCTCTCCACCCCCATCCCGCCGCCTATACCTGCACACGTTTCCTGCAACCATGAAGCCTGACTTGGATGCATTTATGACAAAGCTCAGGTTTTCACCGTGAGCGGTTTCCGGGCTATGCGGGCTGTAGGACAAAGTAGTTAGAAGACACACTTCACACCTGGAGTCTGAGGCTGCCTACTGGGAGCTGCACCGAGGTGACGCCGGAGCCCTGGATGGACACAGGGAGCAGCAGCTGGGCGGTCTGCGCAGTCAGTAAGGCCTGCGGCTGAGCCCCCACGGCGGGTGGCGGCTGTCCCTGCGGACTCGCGAAGAACGGCGGGGCGAC